TGACATCCATGGGCTGCTTTTCTCCTGGAACTTTCTGCTTCCTGTCCCTAAACAGTGGCCTGGGAAGAAAAGTCAATTAAAGTTCACGTTGCTGATGTCCCTGCTTGTCCTCCCTACGCCGGGAAGTTAATCATTGTCAAGCCTCAAGGTTCCCCAAAAGGGACTGTGATGCCCAGCCAGTGTCCTTGGGTAGAAAGTCTAGAACAATGGTTCCTAAAGCATTGTCTGCAGATCAAGAGCAGCGGTACCTAGAAACTTCTTAGAATTGCAGATTAGCATGCCTTACCTCAGACCTGCATCAGAAGTTCTGAGGGTGGGCCCAGCAATCTGTATTGTATCCAGCCCTCAGATGATTCTGAGGCATGCTAAAGTCTAAGAACCACTGGGTACCCAAGAGGAATTGCTCACACCACCCGGAGCAAAGAGCGTCATCAGAAATAACCAAGGTTGAAGGCATTCTTTTATGGGGCTTGGGACAAAAGAGAGCTGGAAGAGTTGACTAGTTGGGAGGAATGGATAGAGGAGACAGGATTTAACAGGTGCTCATCTGAACTAAGTCTTTTGTTGGTCTTCACAGTTGCCAAGAAATTCAAGACTGAGATGGAATTCAAGGCTTTCCATTTACTTTTGGTTCTCTTTGCTTGTTGAGTGTGACCTCTCTCTGCGAGTGAAACATATAGAACCTCAATATATCATGGTCACACCAGTAAGAATATTTTTCTAAGCACTAGGGAAGCCATCTTTGTGAGCGGTCGGCATAGTCTGACACACAAGGAGACTGATTTTCAACCTTCAAGGGTAGGTTCCATTTTGGAAGCAGCTCAAGATATCTGCCAGGTAAGTCATATGACATAGCCTGATAATTTCCCTTAGGAGCGGAAGAAGAGGTGGACCTGGAGAGGAAAGAGCAGGGGTGATCTCAGGCAGCCTCCCAGCCGGGGAGCACCCGCACCGGATACCTAGGAGCTTTCGGCGAGTGGTCTAGCTGCCTGTAGGGATCCCGTGCAATTGGGCTGGGATTCATCTTTCCGTTGATTTGACTTCCCCAGAGTGGCCCACCCGAACACCGAAGGGAGCTGGCTCTGCAACTGCTGTAGACCTCAGGCCTGCGGTGGTAGGCATTTATTTCAGGACTTTGTAACCCTAATGTTCAATCTAGAAATTCTCCAGATGTAGGAGCCTGACCTCCCCAAGGTTAAATTTCCAGCCTCATTGCAGCTAGAACACAATCTGATGGACTCACGTGAGACTTTGATTCAGAAGTGAGCAAGTGGAAGAAAGGGGCTGCACGTGGAATTGGGCTTGCTGGTGACAAAGACAGCCAAGCTATTTGCTTTCAAAAGTGGTTAATTGTGAGGTTGGGTCCCTGGCACAGAAGAGACATCCCTGAACTGGTAGCAGCAGCAGCCAACAGCTTTGCCTCAGTTCCATGACATGATAAGGCTTGAGACACCTTTTCTGGTTTCTCCAGCCTCAAAAGAATTCTACGAGCTGCCTAATATCCTCTTTTCTAAACTTACTTTCTGATTCATCAGCCAAAATGATCTTCTATAGCTAGCAACTAAAAATTCTAATATAAATATGGGCATTGGAAGTTGTGGAAAATCAATAGAACCTCAAGGAAATGGGGGTTACCTGGAATTGGTTATCTGGTCTGGCAGGGGCTGATGACTCGGAATGTCCAGAAGAATTAGGGGAGCCTGTGGTTACCTGTGGAATAAAATGCTCGCTGCAGGCAGGCTTTGGGGATAGCCAGTGGCCACTCTCATAAAACAATATAAAGGCCATGAAGCAACAAAGACTATGAGGTGAGCTGCTTCCATTTCTAGGAACCCAGAACATCCAAGTGACCTCGATTCCACTCAGGTTGCATGATCCTTGCAGGTCCTTTTGAGGTCAGGACTTTACTCTTCCAAGTCCATTCTAAGGTCACTCAGGCCCATTCTCATACCTTTCCCTTGGACTCGAAAAGGCTACAGGACCTTATAGACTGGATTACTCTGGGGGATCAGATTTCCTCCCCTTCCACCTCCTCTCCTCCCTGCCCTCCACTTCTGCCAAGTTACAGCCACCAGGAAAAAATGATAAGACATTTATTGAATCATCTATAGCAGTTTGACATTCTTAAAATCCCGGACAAGGTTGTGAGCACAGCGGTAGCAGTGAGGTCTGTGGGGCTTATCTTTATTGTGGGAGATGAGACCCAGGTGGGCCCGGCTCCCACAGCGAGCCTGGACCACGTCTGGGATGCCAGGGGCGTCCCCACTCCAGCCCTCACAGGGGCAAAGCTACAGAAGACAGACATAAGACAAGACACACATGGCCAAGCACAGACACATCCCAGGACATTGAGTTCAGGAAAAGGAGAAAAATGAGCACACAGCCCTTGAGGGATGTCCCAGATTCTTGAAGGATCCCCATGGGGGTGGCATGGAAACACTAACATCACCCACATGGAAGTCTCCTCATTCTATCCGAAGAACAAACGCCCAACTAATGGGAATAAACGTGGAATTCTGTGTCCATCAGCGCCCACTGGCCTCCCCCTCCACCCCCCAGTGCTGGTGGTTTTGCAAATGGGGCAAAGGTTAACCCAGGAGGGCTCAAAGCAGTTGACAAACAACATGGGGTCCCCCTTTCAGAGGTCTTCACCCCACTAAACAGCTCACACCTGTGTAGTTTCCAAAGCCCTTCCATATGCAAGGGCATCTCACCTCAACCTTGCCCCTGACCCATGGGCCAGACTGAAAATCATGTCCACCCATTTCTCAGATTAGGAAGCAGAGGCCCAGAAGCAGTGCCTGTGCCTTGGAGCACAGAGCAGGTGGTCAGGTGAGGCTAGAACGCAGGTCTCCCCTCACCACACCGGCTCCACTGTCCCTCCTGCAGTCTGGCGTCCCGACAACCTCCGTAACCGGAGCCCTTCTCCTGTGCAAGGCTGAATATTTTCTGGTCGGAAGCTTTACTGGGTGTCTTGTTCTGGCTCACGTGCAGGGGGGCACATATTGGCAGGCCATTTCCCCATTCAGGTTTGTAAAGCATCCTGGGTCGCCAGATGGTGCAGGCACTGTGCTAAGCCCACCTGTCTGCGTCTTCTCATCAGCCCGATGGGGAGGTTTGACCTGCAGATCTCCAAGTTTCCTCCCAGCTCTAGTACTTTGTGAGTTTCCCCAAAGATACATGAAGGAGTCCAGGCCAAACAACAGGTCAGTGGCAAAACTGGAAGACGCCCAGGTCCCCTGCTCCCTGCTCAGGGCTCTTCCAGAGGCATCCATGGTCACTGGGCCCAAGTAGGAACTTATGATGACAAAGCACTCCCTGCTTTCACTCTGAAGTGGCCTTGAGTGGATCAAGGGTACTCACAGAATTACAAAGAAGCCTCTTGTAGCTTTCCTTCCGGGAAGGGAGAGGGTCAGATGAAGGAGGTGGGTGATAACGGACTTGAGGGTACTTCAAGGCTCGGGCCCCAGCTCCAGCTCTCTGGCCCTATGCCCTAGAGAAGCCGGTTCAGGGAGGGGTGTGGGTTAGAGAAGGAATCACTGCAGGCCCCTGGATATGTCAAGGAGGGTCACGGAGCTGCCCACTGAGACAGAGAACGTGGCCTGGCCTCAGGCATGGTGGGAAGTCATGAAGTCTGTCGTGCTGGGGACCGCCAGAGAGCCCCTGAACCCCGATTCCCACACTCTGACCCCTCACGGTTTCCCTGACAGGCTCAGCATCTTTGACTTGGAGTTCCATTTCCCCCAGGGCTAGAGTCTCTCTCTTGATACTGCTTGACAGCACAGTCATGACAGAGGATGAGAGATTTCTTCATCCCAAGGAACACTCTGCCTCCCCTGGGTGAGTTCTGTCCCTTAGGATTGCACAGCACAAAAACAACCCCTTTCTAGAGACACGGAGTCAGATAACTCTGCTCCTCTCCAGCCCAACCGTTCCCAAGGCCCTTCGGCCCCTCCTCACTCAGCATGATTTCCTACCTGTTCCTGGTCCAGGTGAATACTGCAATCCTTGCCTGGAGCCCATTCCCAGGAGATGGCTGATGTCTAGACGAGAATCTCAGGGATACAGTGGGCTATAAAAGCTAGCTAGTCTTATTGCCCATTTTACAGGTTTGAAAAAGCAGGTCAGAGAGGGAAGGGTGGTACCCAGACCTTATACTGTCCCCCCACTGCCTGTGACCCTGAAGAACAGCTGCCTGACCTCCTGGAGCATTCAAAATACATCGGGCGCATCTGCTCACAAGGCTGGCAATAATTTGTTCAGAGACAAAAAGCAACCAACAGGAACCTGGAACCTCTACGAGGATGCAGGCCCACAGCTCAGGGGGCAGCACGGCATGGGGATTCGCGGTAGATTTTGCTTTTGCCATTTTGTGATGATATATGTATAAGATCAAACCCTCTTCTTCCACAGTGAAGCAGACCTGCTGGTGGGGGCGAGGATGAAGAAACAGGGTCCAAACTCAGGGTACCGCTCCTAGGATCTGGGGGTAGCCATTGCCCACCCAGACGTGGCACCCTGCCCCAGCCGGGACACAGCTGGGTCTGCATATCATGCCCTGTCCAGCTGTCCCTGGCCTGAGCCTTCCCTCTCACTGTGGTGTCCAAATGGAAGAGACAGATGTCCCATTTCTAAGAAAGGGAGAATACACAGCATCCAACCTCCCTCCACTCATACACAAACACAGACGTTTCAGAACCGTAGACGATACACATAGCAATGGTGCCCTTTTACCCGCCCTGGCTTTGAACTGGAGAATTACTGAAGCACAGAGCCTGGAGAAGCACTAGAAGTCGCCTCATGTCACGAATGGGGAAACTGAGGCCCAGAACAGGGATCACTGTGTCCACTAGCTCAGCAGTCTGAGCCCAGCTGGGGCAGACTGTGTGTCTCTGAATCCAAGCCTGCGAGTCCTTCCAAGCAACTCAGGTCTCCCAACAGGACCTCAAATGCAAGGACTTCAAATGCAAGCCACGTGAGTTACCTGAGGGGGTGGACACCCACTCAGGTAACACACGTGGTTCCCAGACAGAGGGAAGGAGATCATGAGGCAGGTAGGTGTAGGGGGGGAAGGCCGCCACACACTCCATGGCCAGCCTGAGCCGCCGTGTGTGCCTGGAGCGGGGAAAGCAGGCCCTGCCCTCCTCTGGCTTAGCCAAGACCCAGGGTCCACAGTGTTTCACTGGACATGGGGCTTATCTGTAAACCAAGCGCTAGGTCCTTCTCCAGCCACTTCGAAGGCCTCTCCAGGAACACGTCCCTAAGTCCCCTGGGCCTCTTCCTCTCTATAAAACCAAGCAAAGCAACATTCCCCATCCTCCCAAACTCTCCAAGTGTTCCAGAACGTGCCCGTGAAGCAAGCCCACACACACACTTGGACAGAAACACCACAAGCTGACACAAATGAGGCGGGCCCCGCACAGGGGCCGCTGCATTCTAGCACTTTCCTCCACCTGTTCTGAACCTGGTTCTGCCCCAGTTTAAATTCTTAGGGTGTGGTCTGGTAACTTGTGGCTGGGCAGCCAGGACAGGAGTTTGGGTGCAGCCACTCCTCCCATCAGCAGCCCCTGCTAACAAGCATGGCAGGTGTGGCTTCCCCTCCCAAACCCTACGACACCCTGGGATCCGTGCTGACTCCATGTCTAAAGCGCACAGAGGGAAGTCTTTGCAGAGGTCTCCGATTTCATTAGCTGAGCCCAAGCCAGAGAAAGCTGGTGACGGAGGCTCCTCGTGGTCCGGGGCGGTGGGGGGGCGATGAAGGGGAGCCCTGGGCCCTGGGCACATGGAGGTGTAAGGTGCTTCGCGATTCGCTGATATCACAGAAAGGTGGCTGGTTCATCCCAGTCATGGCTTTGACTTCAAGGGGAAGGGGGAGGGCTTAGGGGCTCTATATGGTGAGTGTAGTTGGGGAAGAGTTTCTCTGAGGCATCCATCTCTCAGTGTTCTGCAACTGATGCCTGGGGACAGGAGGCACAGAAGGGAAGCTACCAGATGAACCCCCGCCTACCTTGAGTCAGGGGTAAACTAATGGAGGTGGTGAAGGTCTTCTCCCATGGGTCCCTCCAAACTCTTTCCATCTCCATTCCAATCACATCCACTTTTCTGGCTCCTGGCAATTTTTCTTGGGCCAAATGAAAAGCACCAGAACTTTCTCTGGCCTTAGCCCCACATCCAAACTGAAGACTCTGACTGGAAGAGCCCTGGAGCTTTCCCACTGTCTGATACCCAGGAACTGGGCACCTGGATACCAAGATGTTGGGTGAGCATGGGTCTCGCCTGCACCGAAAAGCACTCCACGCTGGACCTCTGGCAGCCTCCGGGACTGGGCCAGGCCTGAAAAGAGCCACGGGGTGGCGAGTAGACTCAAAGAGTCCATACCGAGAGTCAGACACTGCAGGGGGGCTGTCAGGCAGGGCCCACCCCGAATCCACCAAAGCAAGGTCACCAGCCTCAGCTCACAAGGCCTCCCACACAGGGTCAGGCGATCACTGAGGCTGGTGGGGACGGGGTCGGGTGGAGCTGGGGACCTGCCTGAGGTGAGCAGGGACACAAGGTAGAGGGGGAGGGATGGGACGACTTTCCCAAAATTAAGGAGTATTTACATGTCTGGGGTCAACGCCCAGGGGCCCACGGTGGGCGGGGCCAGCGCCAAAACGGGGAGGGGAAATACCCGTCTGCGCCCTGCATCCTTCTCCCACCTCGGGGAGCTGGGCTCCCAGCCCAGGGCCAGCCCGAAGGGAGAGAAGAGGCACAGCACGCGTGGGCCGGCGCCCACCCACCCGAGCCCCAGCCGCTGTTCCGAGGAGAGGAGGGGGCAGGGTGGGCTCAGGTGGCCAGGTTGTCGGCTGGGAGGCCAGACATGCGGATCTGGGAGCTGCTTTTGCTCAGGATGGAGAGCTGGGTGCCCCCGTTCACCCCGCTGCTGGCCAGGGACGGGTGCCGGTGCTTGAAGTCCATGGTGAAGTAGCGGTTCACCTTCCAGCTCCGCCATTTCCGCTTGATCTCCGCCTGCACCTGCGGGGGGCAACTCGGGCGGTCACTTCTGGGCAGACACCCTCCCACACCTCACCTGCCCGCCTGCCGGCCCTGGGGCCCCTCCCAGGCGGGCACTCCCATTAACAGCGGCTGCAGATGAGGATCGCCTGGAGAGCTTTAAAAACCCAGATGCCCAGACCATATCCAAATCTCTGGGGTGGGGCACCCATATGTTTTAAAGCTTCCCAGGGGATTCCAATACGCCGTTAGGGTTGAGGATCACTAAATAAAGCACCCTTCTGGGCCAAGACCCCCATGTTGCTCTTAGCATGGTGCACACAGGGCATGCCCAGTTTCAGCGTCCACATACCCACCCCCTTCGCCCCCTTTTGTGCGGTGCAGGCACCCTCCACCTCCAGTTCCGGCTCCCACTTCCACCGTCGGTCCTGACAAGCTACTTGTACTCCGACTTCTTGTGTCTCCCAGCCACTCCCTGCAGGGCCCTGTCTGCCTCTCCATATCTACCCTCATCTGACCCTTCTGTAGGTGGTCTGAGCTAATCTTCTTATTTCTCAGATGCAAAAAGAGGAGGAAGCTGCCACGGTCACCCAGCCAAGGCCCAAGCACTTGGTGCGATGACTTCCGCCCGCTCTCCAAAGCCATCCACCCATTCAGCCCCCATTCCCACCTCAGCATCTCTGTTCTGCACTCTGCTCAAAAGCCCCACCCTAACAGGCCTGGAAATGGAGCACTGCTAGAAGGTTCCAAGCCGCTCCCCAGGGTCCCTCAAGTCCCGCTCTTACAGGGGATGGGTTTGGGCAGGCAGGCCGGCCTGCTGGGGGCAGGGCTGAACTTTGGATAGCTCCCCACTCAGCACCCCTGCCCATCACCAGCCTCAGAAACTGTATGTACCACTTCCTGTGCTTTGTCCTTCCTCACTTTCGGTTCGCCCTGACTAAGGTGTGTCTTATGGTGAGAGCCCTCCCAGGTGGGTCTGCACTCAACAGTTGGTGCCTTTATGGAGGGAGCTCGGCTCTGGAGGCTGGGCCTCAGCTGCACAGCAGGCAAAGCGGGAGAGAATCTGGCACAGGGTGCAGGCCGTCAGGAGACGCCGGCACAGCAGCCGGCCCCCTCCTGTAGGTGCTGGGAATCTGGCAAGTCCAGGTCGGGAGGATCAGCCCTGTGCGCCCAGCAGGCCACAGCCCTGTCTGCTCCCCAGCAAGCTGTACCTCCACTGCTAAGAAGGCCAGGATCTTACCTCCCCATTCAGAAAACAGTAGAGAACAGCCACCACAAAGCCCTAGGGAGAGAAGACAAACAAAACCTGAGAATGCCAGCAAGGAGCCCTCCACCCTGGGGTGTGTGGGAGGCCGCAGGAGCAGCGAGTGACACCAGGAAGCAGAAAACTAAGATGATCTGAATGCGGGCACCTGCCTGGGCATCCGCGGTAAGATGGGAAAAGTTCCGTTCCACCAGGATGGCCACACCCATGAAGCCAAGTGGCTGGCGGGGGCATTCCCTCCCACTGACAACCCTGGCTTTGGATCTCACATTCCCTTGGTCAAATCCTTCCCATTCCCAAGGGCCAGCTCTAACCCACGTTCTAGAGGAGGCCTTCCCTGCACGCCCCAGAGTGTCCTCTGGGCTCCCCAGCCAGCCCGCAGGCCCCCTGAGGGCAGCAGTCCTACAGGACAGAGCAGTCCTGTCTGTGTCCACCACCACCTCCCCACTCCACCCTCCCGCGGCCAGACACCCTTGTACGCAGAACACACAGAACACCACGGAAGTGCCTGGGGCAGAGTAGGTGCTCGGCTCGTCTACACACATTCTTGACTTATATTCTGTGCATTCAGAATTCTTGTGCTGAGACAGGAACCCCAGGCTCTGACTCCCAGGCTGGGGCTTCGTCAACAAACCTCCCAGCCTTCCCAGGCTAAGAACCCGAACAGGTAAAATGGCTTTGAATTAAAATGGGGCAAGGGAGAGAGTCCGGTCAGATACACAGAATAACTTTGCGACCATCGAGGTCAAATACTCCTCTAAACAGCTGGGCTAGGGAGAGGCGCTCTATCCTGGGGACTTTCAAGGGAGCCACCCACCGCCTTCACTGCCCCACTCATGCGCCCACCTGTTCATTACTCACTACGCATCCTCGCACTGACTCACTCACCCCTTCCCTCACTCATTTACAGCCCCGTTTACTGATTCCTTCATGCACCGACTTACTAGTCTCTGGCTCTCTCATTCCCTGGATCACTTATTTACATATCTGTTTGCTCATCCCCCGTTCAGCTCATTCAGCTCCCTGTGACCAGACCCTGTGCTGGGGATCTGTCTTACTTGGGTAAGACAAAGCTCCAGCACTCACGGGGTGCATGTTCTACAGGCTGCAGTCAGAGAGGTCTCTTGAGGCCACTCCGCCCACCCCCGGGGCCGATGGTGAGGGGCGGGGAGCTGCCGCCTTTGATTGCCCAAGGGAGGCCTGGCTCAGGACACCCAGACGCAGCAGCAACAAGAAAATAACAGCGTGTCTTCTCGTGGGAGCCTAGAGGGTGGACAGTAGAAAGGGCTCTCCCAGCTCCCTTCTAATCTAGTCCTATTATTCCAGAGGTGGAACCTAGAATAGGTTAAAGACGTAGAACACCACCAAGGTAGAGGCCAGGGCCCTGGCTCCCCATGAGTCCTGCCCTCCACACACACCACACCTACCTGGAAGGAGCCCAGCCCCAGCTCAAACACAAGTCTCTCCCTCTTGCTGACGTCCTCTGGGGAGAAAGCAAAGACCGTGTAGTGGATTCCAAATAGTGGGATGAGCAGCAGGGTGGACCGGGCGAGCCGTCTGTGGGGAAAGAGCAAAACCGCTGCTCCGGGAGCTGCCAGGGCTTGGGGCCAGAGCCATGCAGGGCAGAGAAGCCCAGTCCCAGCCCCTACTCTCCCCCGGAGCTGGGGCCCCTATCCACGGGCTCCCTCAGGATTCTCTCCCGGTGCGTGGGGCCTGGGGGAGATGGCAGCCAACAGAGCCCAGGCTTCCAGAGCTCCCTGGGAAGTGCTGGGGAGACAACCCCCTGTCTGCAGGGCACCCATCCCTCTAGGCCATGCCGGTATCCCGTACAACCACTAAACGTGCACATGTGAGTGTGTGATTTACACAGACCCTTTTTGGGAGGTGTGAAACCTTTGGGAAAAGTGAAGTCAGGGCAAAACCCTGGGATTGGATTTGGAAGGACAACACGAGGTGTCCTCAAGCAAAACAAGCATTCTCCTGCTCTGAAGAGCAGCTCCCTGTGCCTGGAAAGAGCAGCCCCTAGGGAACCACAGAGACCGTCGGCTTTCCTGCGTCTGGGGCTAGCCAGGCATGCTCGTGGAGAGTGACGGAGAGGCGCTGATGACAGGGAGGCGGGCGGGGAACACTGGGCAGACCACAGAAGGAGAGACATGGGAGGGGTCCTAGGAAGGATTTACTGACTCCGAGCATAGACAGGAGGAACCTGCCACCTGGGAAACTGAGCTGGGGGAGCAAAGGCTGTCTGCTCAGGTGGGAGTAGAACGGGCAAGGGAGAAACGGCCCAAGGGACCTCAGTACTCTCTGAGGCCAGCTCTTCTGAGGTTCCTCTGACTGCAACTGGCTCCTGGGCCCAGTGGGGAGGGGCTCTTGTCTGAGAGGAGGGGGTACAGAAGCCACGGGAAAACATCAAGAGTAGGCATGGCGACGTGCTCTTTGTGGGTCCTGCTCCGGGGGAAGGGTGGCTCCCAGAGGGCCTCCAAAAGGGGGGACCCCGTCTCTGCCCACCCCAGCAGACTGGCTCCCTTTGGATCTCCTGGAAGAGCCAGCCCCGCCTGACAGGTGCAGTCCGCCCCCTGGGCCCTCCTAGCAGAGCTCAGCCCACCAGGGTGGGCAGCGGGGTACGGGGGTGGCCGTTTGACTTGCGGCAGTCACGCCGTGTGCCCCTCCCTCCCTCTTTCCCATCCCAGCCTTTCTGGGAGAGAATGTTCTACTGAATGTGGGGCCTCCGGATTTCAGGAGAAGTAGAATCCATGGAGTCTGAGTGATGCCCTTGGCTGACCAGCATCTACCAAGAAGGAAAGGATGGGGAAGGGGAAGAAAGAAAAGCAGGGGAGGGGACACAGCGGAAGGGGAAGGAATAGCCTGGGGAGACCTTCAGGTGGACCAAGGCTCAGTCCTGGAAGGAAACAGCCCCTCGAGTGCCCAGTGCCCACCAATCCTCCCCGTGCTCACTGACTGCCCATTCTACAGGACCTGGGGGTGCCTGGACCAGAGCGGGCGCCAACAGGATCTGAGGGGCTCCCACTCGGAGCCCAGCTGAGTTTGGGAGTGGTCTAGCCTCTCGTGTGTCTGTCCTCTCTCGGATGTGGCTCTCTGAAGGCAGGCACGGGACCTCACTTAACTGTCATCTGCCCTGGCCAGCACACGCCCTGCACAGGGCTCACACTCGGAAAGTGCGTGTCCATGAAGGGATGACCACCAGGGCCCGGGATGAACACCTGGGAGCCCTTGACACTGAGCATGACCTGGGAGCCCTGCTCATGCTCATCTCCAGGCACCCAGAGGGCAGCGAGAAGTGCTGGCTGGAGAATGAAAGTCCAAAAGGAAGAGGACAGTGGCCTGGAAACGCAGGCGTGTGGACATCTTGCGGGTGCCTCTGTGACCCTGCCTAAAGGGGTTACTTTAAAAGAGCAGCTTAACTCAAGAAGCTGAGGAGGGAAGGCAGCCCTGGGATGTGCTGCGGTCCCTGCCTTCTTGCCTCCTCTCCCCAGAATGGATCTGTTTCCAGGGATCTGCCCCTGACGTTTGAAAAGTGCCCTGGAAACCGAAAGGCCAAACTTCTCCAGCTTCCGTGGTGGTGGTGGATGGGACGGGTTTGGTACGTGAGAAATACAACCTTTCAGGCCCTTCCCGGACCCAGGCAGATGTGGCGAATGCAGCAGGGCATCCCACAGTATAGTCCAAGGGTAACGCCTTCCCTCCCCTGTGGCCCCAGTGCAGCCCAGGAATAATCAGGGACTTCTGCCAGGGACCCAGGGCACCCCCATGACTCCTTTTGGTAGATGGGACAGTGGAGGCAGGTGAGGAAGTCACTAGGTCTCAGAGTCCGAGGACCTCTGTCCTTCGGAGGCCTTGGGATGGGAACATATGGTGTGAACCTTGGAACCCCGCGTTGAGGAGTCACAGACTCAACGCTACGATCTGATTAACCCAGAGAGGCCGCGGCACAGGGCCTTGGCCTCTGTCTTCCTGCCCCAAGGAGGCATCACCGGGCAGAAGAGGCCTAAAGATTACAAAGAAGAGCTCCAACGGTCAGAGCCCCCCCGAATTCCAGTGGGCTCCCCCACTTAAAGGGGTGTCCAAGTTGGAGCTGAGGCTCCAGCAAGAGATGCCCCAGGGACTAGTGCTTAGGACTCCCTGGGTTCAAATCCTCACCCTGCCAACCGTGTGGCCTTGGGCGAGTCATTTCACCTCTCTGCGCTTCAGTTTCCTCACCTGTAAAATGAGGATAATACAAGTACCCACCTAATAGGCTTGTGTGGGGAGTCAGCCACTCAGCACGTTCGGTGGGAGTGAGGTGCGTGGGGTGAGGGTCCCGCCCCCTGCAGGAGGACAGCCTAAATGAACTCAAGCTCAAGGCCCTTAGAAATAATCTGGCAGTTGCAAAGATTGAAACCCAGAGACGTGGGGATTGGCGGAAGACCACACATCACGACAGCGGTGGCGGCAGAGGCTTCAAAGCTGCTTCCTGCTCTGCACCGGCCGCGCCCCAGCTGCTCCACAGTGGCCACAGCCCCATGCCCGCAACCTCCCCTCCCGTCCCAGGCCACGAGGTTGCAGAGAACTCACAAGACACACAGATGTCAACATGCAACAGCTGGGAAAGGGCTTGGGGCTGGAGGCACAGGCTCGCTCCCTGCTCTCCTCCAGCCTGGGCGGACGCAAGCTCTGGGCGGTGGCAGCAGCAGCATGCGTCCCCCTCCCGTCCAGAGCACCCAGCCGCAGCCACGCCACGCACACTTACAGAGTAATGGTGGACAGTTCTGACATCTTGCAAGGGTGCTGCTGAGCCCGCTGTGGCCTGCAGTAGCATTTCTGCACGCAGCTGCTGGGTGTGACAAGATGCGCATTACTGTCAGCTGCGGGCGCTGGGCAACGAGAAACTGAGGTGGGACCTAGGGCGACACGGCTCACAGGGCGGGCAGAGAGGCCCAGGGTGTAGAGAGAGACAGGGCCGGGGCGTCACGTGGAGGAGAAGGAGGAAGCCAAGGGCCGAGACGTGGTCAGCTCTGGACGCAGAAATACACACCTCTACATATATACGTGTGTGCATGGACGCACAGGCACACGCGAGCCCTCACACTGGGAAACCGACCGGTGGTGGGGTTCGGGAGGGAGGGAACACGTGTGTTTGGAAGGTGGGGCCTGACTGGGGCTCACGCAGGGGACCAGGAACTGTCTCCAGAGTCAGCTCCAGGCACAGAGGATGGCCTTGACGGAGATCCCTCAGCAAGATGGGCAGCTGGAAACTCACGCCATGGACCTCACGCCGGCCCAGCCCTGGAATCAGGCCATTTCTGCACTTGCTTGTGAGAACCAGCTGGAGCACCCACTGGTCCTCCCCCCGCCCTCCCCTCCCGCACCTTCCTCTGACTGAGCCCCCGGGTACCTCAGTGTGGGCCTAAGGGGAGCAGAGGCAGGATGGATGGAGCAGACCCATGAAACACGACACATCCACCATGTAAGTTAAAATTAAGTGAAAAATCCACTTCCTGGGTTGCCTGAGCCACACTACAAGGGCTCAACAGCCACAGGCAGCAGTGGTTCCCGGGCTGGACAGCACAGGTCTGGGGCATTTCCAACACCGCCGAGAGTTCCACTGCACAGTGCTGGCTGGACTTCTCGATAAAAGTTCAGAGGGCAGGGGCTGAAGGCTGAGAGAGAACCTTTCGGGCTCTGCCCCGCTGCCTGCAGAAACGAGTCACCTTAAGGAGACACCCACAGGTGGGCCCAGGATGCCCGTCCAGCTCTACCCGGCACTGGGCGAGGCACAGAGCTCTGCCTCCTCAGAGAGGTCTCAGGCTCAATTTCCACCTGCTTGTGCTTGGGTTGGCACAACTCATTTGTTTCCATCTCTGACAAACATGGAAGAAATGGAGTAAGAGCTGTGTCATCTCGTCAGACTGCAGAAGAGGTGCCCATTTCACACCCCCTCCAACCTGAGGGGGTCGGATGCAAATAAGAACAGATACGCACAAAGAGGCCAGACCTTTGGCATTCATGGATTCATAATTTGTGATTCCCACTCTTTTAAGAGTAAGTCTGAAGGTCCTTGACATGTAGTGACACGTCATTTTGCTGAGGCAAACATGTGAATCACACACTTCAAAGATGGGGCAAGCCGAGGTCCACCCAGCATCCTTGCCTCAGTTATGTCTGTAGTTCTCTCATTTAATTAACAACATGTTTCAATTCACACCAGACTGTGAGATGGGCACTAGTGAACCATTATACAGATGACGGATATTATGATGCTCTGCTACCCAGACCAGCAGTATCAGTACCACCTGAGAGCTTCTTAGAAATGCAGAATTTCAGTGGCTGGCTCAGACCTGCTGCCTCAGAATCTGCATTTTAACAAAATCCCCAGGTGCTCCACCTGCAAATCAAAATTCCAGGAACACTGTTGTGAGGAAGTCATGTATTTGAGAAGTTTTTCATGTGCCTCAATGAATGTCAAAGGTCTGTTTTGTACACATAGAAAGAGACAGATGAACACATACAAGTATGTTTTCCTCAATAATTAAAAGAGCTTAATTGGGTATTCAGGAATGGAAGCCATTCTAGTCTACAAATTTATTCTCTACCTTGCACAGATTGAAAGGTTGACTACTCTCTCCTACAGCCAGTGGCCTGACCCCTCAACCTTGGCCTGGAAATCACGGAAATCAGGGTCCAGGAGCCCAAGAGCCCAAACCTCAGATGTCACTTCCTGCACACCCAAACTCTAAAGCTTCAGCTGTTGTCCTCTGAGACCCCCTTTCCCCAAACCTCCAATGACTGTTCAAAAGGATCCAGTGAAAAGAAACAGAAAGGAAAAGGGGTGGCAGAAAAGCCAGAGACAGGCATGAGAAAGACGTCAGAATCTCTGAAAAGTCACTTGTTAGTGAAAAACAGAAAAGAAATGCAATCAACAGGAAGAGAGAAACCTAGGCTGGCTGATCAGCTCAGTTCTCATTTGGGTCCAAGGGAGGATAAGAAACTCAGACAAGGGTAGCGGATGGAGGCTGCTTGGAGAACCCCACAGCAGGTGCATGGCTCACACCCACATCTGCAAGTCAGGGAGCCCTGGCTCCCAGGCCTGACTCTGCCAAGGCTTTGCTGTGTGTCTGCAGGAAGGTCAAAGCCATTTCCAGCCCATCTATAACCCAGGGATGCAGCACATGGTTTCTTCTGACCCTGCTTTGGTCTCAAGCTAAACTCCACGAATGCTGCGGTGTTTTCTGCGTGCAAGGCTGCCTGGGCTGTAGCCCCAGGATGCTAGACAGAGAGCCCTGCAGGGGAACCCTTTGTGGGCAGCACCCCTGTCTACTTCACCCTGCTCCTAGCGGTCGGCATAGCACTAGACACTCGGCAGGCCCACAGAATGTTGTGACCTGAGCTAAACGTTCTCCATAGGGTCCCTCCTGGTGCTAAGATGCTGTGTACCCCCAGAGCCCCGGCCCAGTCCCCAGGGAGGCACTCCCCACCAAACTGGTACGCCAGCCAGCAGCCCAGTTCAGCAGATCTTGGAGTTTCCCTGCCCACCCTCCTTCTCCCCCCCCCGCCCCCCCAATGAGGACCAGCCAGCCCTCAGTGCCCCTGGCCTGACCTGGGGGGTCAGGGCACCTGAGCTCAAAGCTTTGTTTGACCACTGACTTGCTGATTTTAGGTGTTGCCACTTTCCTTCTCTGGACTTCAGTTTCCCCACCTGCAAAATGGGGGCAAACATTCCCTACTGCCAATCCCTAACAGGAGCTGTCAGGATAGGGTGCTCCCAGACAAGGGAGAGAGTGCTTTGGAAGGAGAAGATAGAGCCCCATGTGAACTGGGAGCCTCAGGCTGTGGGCTGAGAGCTTCCCGGCTGCACTTCTGCCTAGACATGGAAGAGTCTGTCTTCAGAGGCGAACGTCATGCCTCCGACGCTGGGTAGGCCACAGCCCTGCTGAGCTATATGCTATCGGGTTGGCCAAAAAGTTCGTTCGGGTAACATCTTATGGAAAAAACCTGAACAAACTTTTTGGCCAACCCAATACATCACGGTGTCTGTTCTTCTTCCTTTACCCCAAGGTGCCGTGGGGACCTGCTCTGTGGGATGCCTGAGGGAAATACAGATGGGGTTTCCCTCCTCGACCCCAGACCCAAGAGGCAGCTCCCAATGCCCATCTTGCAGCAGGGAGAGCACTGGGAATAAAGCCAGCTCCCTGCAGGGCCAGGCCTGAGATGCTCTCAGCACAATCAGTGTCTGCCCTGAAACCTCACCCTCCTGTTTCTCAACTAGTTGGCTTCTCACAGAGGTAAACTCTGGTCCCCAAGACAAGGCAGGCTAACCCTGACCCCAGAATGGGGCTGAGCCCAAACCCTCTGCCCCAAACCAAGTCGAGCCTAAGCGCAGGCTTAGCCCCGACCCAGGCCCACACTCCATACCTGGCCACTGCCCAAGACCTGAGCTCAGCCACTCCTACCAGCCAGTGAGAGAATGGAGGTGGCTCAGGGCCACTGTCTCGCTGCAGGAGCCCCAGCCCCCAACAGGTCCCTCTGCGGCTAGGTCGGGAGCGCCGTCTTGGTCTAGGGAGGAGGACAAACCCTTATCATCTGAGCAGCTGGAACCAACCTACAGGAAGGGGAGTGAATGCTGGTCTGAGGGCACAGGCAGGGGGTCCTCTCGGGCTTTCTTGGGGATGCCCAGGCTTAAATTTGTTCTGGAAACAGAGGAAAAACCTGGAAAGCTGTTGTGGGCAGATATGAAGGGATATCAGCCCAACACATAACTCTGTTGACCCAAGGGGACTCGGACGCAGCCCCGAAATCTCCCTCTCCTACCACGTCATGCCCCTTTTTTAATCCCCCCCATTGTCTACCCCCTTCCCCACCTGCAGCAGACACCTCCCAGCTCAAAGCACTCCAGGTGGGGCAGTTTTTTACAAGTCTGGAACCCACTGGGGCCTCTTCTTCCAGGAAGCCTTGTTTAACACTATCTTCTTGTCTGTAAAGTCAAGAAGCGCTGATGGTGCAAATGATGGTGCAAATGATGGTGCAGTAGAGTTTGAAGTCAAGGGTCTGCCTGCACTGTGGCTATGGCTTCACTCTTTCCTGCTGGATTCATCTAACTTCACTGATAACTAGTTCCCTTGGCTGTAAAATGGGGATTATGTTTAATCCAGATTTGCCGTGTGGGCATTAAACGTGCATGTACTGAATGGCAAGTGTTTTTTTTTTGTTTTGTTTTGTTTTTTTGGCGTTATGTGGGCCTCTCACTGTTGTGGCCTCTCCCATTGCGGAGCACAGGCTCCGGACGCGCAGGCTCAGCGGCCATGGCTCACGGGCCCAGCCGCTCCGCGGCATGTGGGATCTTCCCGGACCAGGGCACAAACCCGTGTCCCCTGCATCGGCAGGCGGACCCTCAACCACTGCGCCACCAGGGAAGCCCGGCAAGTGTTTTTAAATGCTCTGCAGTTCTTCGCGGCATGGCCACTTTGAATGTCCCTCACTTTCACCAGTAGGGTCTCCTGGACCCTAGAAACACTCAAGCATGATGCTGCATTTAATGGGATCAAGCTGATCCCTTGTCCTGTGTCAGCCCCCCCACCTGGCTTGCAGACCACATCCACCTGAGGTTTCATCTTTGGGGCTTGAGACGAGCACAAGTTTAGATTTCTCTCAAAAAAAAAATGTGCTGAGATTTGAGGGGGATTTTTTACATGATAAAAGTAAACCAGGGCTTCCCTGGTGGCGCAGTGGTTGACAGTCCGCCTGCCGATGCAGGGGACACGGGTTCGTGCCCCGGTCCGGGAGGATCCCACATGCCGCGGAGCGGCTGGGCCCGTGAGCCATGGCCCCTGAGCCTGCGCGTCTGGAGCCTGTGCTCCGCAATGGGAGAGGCCACAACAGTGAGAGGCCCGCGTACCGCAAAAAAAAAAAAAAAGAGTAAACCAACTACAGCCATACCCCTGGGATATTGTGGGTTCAGTTCCAGACCACAGCAATAAAGCGAATATTGCAATAAAGCAACTCACATCAATTCTGTGATTTCCCAGTGCATATAAGGGTTATGTTTACACTGTCCTGTAGTCTGTTAAGTGTGCAATAGCATAATGTCTAAAAAAAAAATGTACACACCTTAATTTGAAAACACTTCATTGCTAAAAAATGCTAATCATCTGAGCCTTCAGTGAGTCATAGTAGTAACAAAGATCACTGATCACAGATCACCACAACTATAATAAAGAAGGAGTTTGACATATTGCGAGAATTACCAAAATGTGATGCAGAGACACGAAGTGAGCAAATGCTATTGGAAAAATGGGGCTGACAGACTTGTTCAACACAAGGTTGTCACAAACCTTTCATTTGTAATAAAAGCGGTATCTGTGAAGCAGAGTAAAGTGAAGCGTGATAAAACGAGGCAGGCCTGCAGCTGGTTCTTTAAACGTTTGTACTTAAATGTATAAACCCTGTGCTAATTACAGATGTTCTTATCTATGCATTAGGAAGGCCTGACAAGACTCTACCGCTCCCAGTCTACAATTTACCTTGAAAACCCTGGCTCCACACTTCCCTCCCTCCAGACCCTGGGGTTCTTGCTGCCTGGGGAGGGACGTCCAAGCTGGTAAAGTATGTCCGGGGGTCAATAGAGGGTCCTTACTCAGGCTGCAGCTGAGCCACCATGTGTGACCCTGCACAGGCAGAGTGAGGGGAAGCTAGGAGAGGCCCCAGAGGAGAGGTGCCAGGGACCTCAGAAGAAGAAACAGATCCTACCAGGAAGCAAGGTGGGGCAGGAGCTGGGGGAACCATGGTTGCTTAGAGCTCAAAGAAGAGACAAGGCCGACTTTGCTACCCACCAGCTTCAGAGGCCCGAGATGACTGCTAGCGTGGGAACCAAGCCACCCTCAAGCAGGATAAGCAGGCCAGACGTAAGGACGTGGTTTCTGACACTGGACCAGAAAAGGTGAGGGGAGCGGTGGGGCCCTGTTTTGTGGCTCCTGGGGAAGAAGGCAGGAATGATCTCTCCGGGGCAGTTACTTGCAGACAGCTGGCCCTACCAGCCCATCAGGGCAGGGCCTCCAAGAGTTTGTGACTTATGTGGATGAACAATTTTCAGCTACATAACATACACATATAAGCAAAGGTTGGTAAACATTTGCCAAAACATGGAAAAATAAAGGGCAATAAATGGAGAGCCAAAAGAAGGAGGGGAGGGGCGGTCAATGTAATCATCCTACACGCGGGGAGAAGCAAGCCTGACGGAACCAGGCCCTAGGCTAACCCCTGCCCCCAGCGGAAGGGCTATCACAGGAGAGGTACCCAGGCTGAACAGAGACCAGGGGCAATCTCCACTGACCTGGGGAAGCCTCAAGGAGCCTGAGGGAAGGATCTGGCGCTGATCCCTGAGCAGTTCCTGCCTCTCCCTCTCTCCGGGAGCATGGCAGGGCGGAGGAGCCCTCTGCTGGAGTCTCTCTGCTGTCCCACTTGTCCACTGGGCAGCCCATCAAGGTTCTGAGCCCCAGGTTGCAGCCTCTGATGGAGGCCAGACCAGCCCCCTCTGGTGCCACGAGAGCACTTCAGCTCCTTCTAACCTGCTCTCTCCTTAAACTGAGGACGCAACACATACGGCTTCCACGCCAGAGACTGTCCTCAGATTCCCTGTGCCTAGGTGGCCCCTCCAGCCAATCACAGGGCACCAGCCTGCCTCCCCGGGGCCAGAAGTGCTTCACAGCACACACACCCAGATGGTCACGTTCCTGACCACAAAGCAAGAAGGGTGAGATGGAAGGTGGCTGCGGGAGAGGTGGGCAACTATATTTTACAGGTACTTTAACCCAAAAGAATTCTTGCCAATGCCCGTGCTAGGGTACCCCGTCAGCGACACCCAGGCCTTCTCCTCCTGTGTCCTGTGTGCAGGGCCCATACAGCTGTTGGACTTGACCATGGCATTCACCTAATGGTACTTACAAGTAGATGCTGGACTCATTGCCTCCCATGTCTGGAGACTGAAGTTTCTGCACGAGGATGACAATGATGCCGACGAAGAGCACAAAGTTAACCTGAGAAGCAAAGAAAAACCAGATGAAAACGGTTCTGAGCAAAGACTTTCCACACCCCGGCCTCCGCACTGTCTGTTATTCCCCCAGCAGGGCCCTCCTCCCATCCAGTCAAGATCCCATCTAGGCTTAGAATCTTAAGATGGCAGCATGAACACTCATTCACCCCCCAGCCTCCCTCCATATCACTGAAATGACAGAAGAGAGAGATGAAGAATTCCATAAGAGTACTGAGAAATAGCAAAGATTATCATGAGTGAGCCAGAAAAGGGAGCAATCTCTGGAAAAGAAAGAGCCAACAGCGTCAGGGTGATGGAAAAACTACAGTGCCAAGGAGAGAAGAGGTTATCGCAGAGGTGAGAGCTGTCCTCTGGAGAAACTCCAAGTCCAGAGTCACTGAATACGGAAAACCAGAACGGACAACCATATAAGCATTATTAATTAAAGGACTGCCTGGGAATAGCAATAACGTTTACCTTCAGACAAAAGCTCTCTAAACAAAGTGGGAAGCTGTGTGTATGGTGAGAAAGGAAGAGGGAGGGGAGCAAATAGAAAGAAACAAGGCGACTACGCAGCAACATCTGGCTGTAGCAAAGCAGCGCTCAAGGAGGAAACGGAGAGCCTAACGCTAACTTAATAAAAAATAATAAATATTGAAAATAGAATAATTAACCATTCAAATCAAAATCTAGGGAAAGAGTACCACAAATTTAAGTTATACAATAAAGAAGTTAAAGATAAAAATTCATTAAAGAGGGCTTCCCTGGTGGCGCAGTGGTTGAGAGTCCGCCTGCCGATGCAGGGGACACGGGTTTGTGCCCCGGTCAGGGAAGATCCCACATGCCACGGAGCGGCTGGGCCCGTGAGCCATGGCCGCTGAGCCTGCACGTCCGGAGCCTGTGCTCCGCAACGGGAGAGGCCGCAGCGGTGAGAGGCCCGTGTACCGCAAAAAAAAAAAAAAAAAAATTCATTAAAGAAATACAAAAAAAAAAAGTAGACTTGATCGATAAAAATAGAATTTTTTGGTTTTGCTCTGCTCGTTTTCACAGATCAAATAGAATGGTAAAGCCTCCTCCAGAGGGCAGGGTTCTGTCAGTCCTGCTTTCTACTGCATGCTCAGTGTCTAATCAGTACCCGGGATTTACCACAGTAAATACTGTTAACTGCACATGTTAGTCCAAAAGGAGAAAATGCAATTAAGCACATTTAGGGATGAGAAAGAGGACAACAGATGTACAGAATATTTTAAATCATCACAAGGAAAAAAAAATCAAACAAAATGGGAAAATATAAATTAATCAAATCAAATCAACATGTAGAAAATCAGAATAGAGCAATGACCTCAGGAGAAATTTAAAAAGTACTCAAAGATGTATGCATTAAAAGGCACCAGCCCAGATAATTTTACTGGCCAGTTTCAAAATACCTTTAGGGAAGATGTAATTTACATACTACTTCATTATTTAAAAGCAAATAAAAAGAAAACCTCCCAAATTACCTATGAGGCTAACAAAACCCTAGTACAAAACCTAGACAAGGACAGAAAGTGTGTGCGCGCACACACACCCACGCACACGCCTAAAACCGGAGAACTTACAAAGAACAAATGTAAAAACTATAAACAAAATATTAACAGATAGAATTTAGCAGTGCATTAAAAGAACAAACAGATCACGGCCATAAAGGTTTTATGTCAGGAATGCAAAAAAAATCTACTAATATTTGTTACATTAACAGATTAAAACAACGAACTACCTTTATCCCACATAAGATTGGTGAATAGTTCAGTAATGGAAACATCAACAAAAACATAAGAAATGAGCACTTTCGTACTCTGCCTGTGGAGGGCAATTTGATATCCATGAAAATGTTAAATGTATACATCCTTTGTCCCAGAAATTCCACTCCTGGAATTTACTCTAAAGCGTATTCACACATAACTCAAGAGTATGCACAAATATATCCACCACAACATTGTTCATCATGAAGATAAACTGGAATATTATAAATGTCCATCACTAAGGGAATGATCAACTAATGTCTCCAAAACACATTTGATAAAATTCAACACCTATTCCTGACTTTTAAAAAATAAACACTAAAACAAGAAAAGAATAGAAACTTCCCTAATTCAGTGAAGGTAATTCCCCAAAACTATAGCAAACACCATCCTCAAAGAAACCAAGGAATACACAGTATAAATATTGGAAATGAAAAGTAAAATGTATTTCCATTTATAGATCATGTAATTTTCCATGAGAACCAACTGAAAATGGATAAGAACCAATAAAAGAGCTTCAAAAGGTAACCAAGAAAAGAAAAAAATACACAAACACTAATAGCTTCCCTAAGTCCCAGCACAAATACACCCACTAGAAAATATAACGAAAGAATGATTCCTAGACACAGGACGAGCACAAATGGAAAGACACCATAAAGGGAAACCTAACAAGACAACTAAAAAAAACTGTCAAAAATGACTCTATGAGAAAGACTGAATAAATGGAGAATCATGCCATATTCTTGGAAAGGAAGACTCAATATTTTAAGAAAACCACTTCTCCAAATTTGTTTATAAATTCAATGGAGTTCCTATAAAAATCTCAACCAGCCTTTTTTTTTGCAACTTGACAAATTTGCAACTTGACAAATTTGAAAGTCCATCTGAAAAAGTAAATGTGCGAGAAAATTTGGAAGGGGAAAAAAATAAGGAAGGGGATATGAGCACACCCGATATCAAAACATGCTGCCAGTTTACAGTAACCTGCCACAGGAAAAGCCACATAGATTAGTTACATGGAGTAGGAAGTCTGGAACTAAATACAAGTAGAGTACATTGAGTGTTTACGATAAAGTGGCATTTCTATGTAATGGAGAAAGAAGGACCTATTCAATAAAAAGAACTGAGAGGGTGGATGTCCACCCATTGGAAAAAAAATAAGGTTAGCTATCATTTCAGATCAGACAGAGAAATAAAATTTCAGATAGATTAAAGGCATATGTGTAATAATGCAATCTATAAAATTGTTATAAAACGATTAAGAATACTTTTATATTTAAGGTTGGGAAAGACTTCCATAAACAAGAAATAAGACTCAGTGCTTCCCTGGTGGCGCAGTGGTTGGGAGTCTGCCTGCCGATGCAGGGGACACAGGTTAGTGCCCTGGTCCGGGAAGATCCCACACGCCGCGGAGCGGCTGGGCCCGTGAGCCATGCGTGTCTGGAGCCTGTGCTCCGCAATGGGAGAGGCCACAACAGTGAGAGGTCCGCGTACCACAAAAAAAAAAAAAGAAAGAAATAAGGCTCAGAATTCATGATGAGAAAGCCTGACGGTCTGACTATATAAAATTATGCAATCTTGGATGTATACTTACAACATGTATAACAGATGAAGCATTACTATCTATCGAACAGTAAGAAAGATAACAACTGGACTAGAAAAATGAGCAAAGAATAGATAATAACCAGAATAAAAACAAATTGTCAATAAATATTTGAAAAAAATGCTCTGTTGCACTAGCAATATGGAGAAATGCACGTTAAAACAATAAGCTACCATTATCTCCCACAAGGCTGTGCAAAAATTTAAATGATTGAAACTACAAGTGCAGACAATGATATGGGAATACCCTTTGTGACCCAGCAATTCTACTCTAGGGATTAATTCTAAAGAAATATTCACACGTTTTCAAAACTATGCACAGAACTGTTCCTAGTAGCATCTTTCATAATGAGGGAAAATGGGATAAAGATAAGTGTCCGACACTCGCGGAAGAGCTAAATAACTTGTGCGCCCTTTTTGCAGACTATAACACAGCCACGGGAGGTTGGTTTGTGTGGTGACCTCTTTATTTCTCCTCCTCCCTTGCCTTTCAGCCCAGGCCTCTGTTTCTTCCCTGCTTCTTGTCCCAAGGACACTCACCATTATGGAGCCAACCACAGGGGCTTTGATCACCCACCACAGAGCCGTGTTGTCATTCATATCCCAGCAGCTGCAAGACAGACAGAAAGAAGAGAGATGATGCTTGAGGGCATCATCTCTCCTGGCTGGCTGGAAGGGATGCAAGGGCATCACCATCTCCTTCCAGCCAGCCCCTCCTGCAGCTCTGAGGAGGGGCTGGCTGGAAGGAGAGGTCTCAGGAGGGCTGCACACCCAAGCCCAGCCCTGGTTCAAGTGCCTTGGTCCTTCCCTCTGCTCCCCTGTCAAGGCAGGGACTGGAGCCCAGGAGTGAGGGCACCAGTGGGCTCCTGGGCGAGGGCCACGTTCCCCCTTCAGACCTAGGGCTCTGGGGGATGCGACCTCACCCTCGATATTCCTCCTCCCCTCCCTAAAAGGAGAACAGCCACTCAGAGTTGGGCCCAGAAGCAGAGCAGGACTCTGAAACCTTGCACATTCCCTCACTGAGTCCCGGCTGAGATGTGGCTGGGTGGGTCCACCCGCAGTGGGGTCAGAGCACAGTCACTGCCCAGGGCTGGGGGTGCAGCCATGCCCGGCATTGGATGGTTTGCCTGAGACAGTTCGTGGGACATCAGGACAGCCGCTGACACCATCTGTAAGAGCCTCCTTGGGGCTCCGGCCCTGGCTCTCGGGCACGTACTCACCCTGTGTCATCGAAGTAGAGCCTCAGCACAGCCCACACGGACACACACACAGTTGGGGTCCCTGGAGAGCAAGAAAAGGAGCCCCGTGATAACTGGAAAACCAATAGGCCCAGTGTCCCCCTCAGACTTGGGGCTTCTGGGGGCCAATGAACCCCTCAGAGGTGGGGTCCCGACCCATGGGGCATGTCTCCCTCTCAGACCTGGAGTCCTGGGGACCCTAACTGTCCCTCACACCCAGGCCTCCTGGGGGTCCATGTCTCTCCCAAACCCTGGGCTACCTCGCCTCTCAGGAGGACTCTTGAGCATAGCCCCTCCATCAGACAGTGGGCTTCCTACGAGAAGAGCAAGAAAGCGTCCAAGAACCGGGAGTGTGCCGTCAGCTGCGAGGCAGGTCAGTGCCTCCCTCCTCTGACCTGACGCTCCCGGACGGCAGGACCAAGGACATCCCCGGCCGTGAGGCCTGAACCTGTCTGGGAGACAGCCAGTGACCTACCCCAGCCAATGAGGATGTACCAGTAGAAGTATCTCCTCTCGGGGAAGAAGGTCTCCACCAGCAGCGTGAAGAGGTACAGGCCCTCAATGAACAGCCAGAAGTAGTTGGATACGACACAGTAGTGGAAGAAAACCATCACAGCCTTGCATTCCACCTGCAGGGAGAGCGAGGAGGGGGAGGGTGGCACGAGACCCCACCGAACCCTGAAAATCCAGCCCAGCAGGACCAGAGAGGATCCTGAGGGCCCTTCAGCTGAAGCATGCTTGGGTTTAGACACCCCGTGGGTCTGAAAGACTCAACATTCCTGGATTCAGAGTTTACAACTGCAGCATCCTGTGAGTCTGAGTCGAAGCTGCCATGGAGGCAGCTCTGCACAGGTCAGAAAACATGGAACCCCCTTTTCTCCCCAGGCTCATTCTCCCCGACCTTCCCGTCCCGTCCCCAGTGTCCACAGGAGAGGCGAATAAGGAGGACCCTGCAGGAGCCTCCTTGGTGAAATAAAGGTTTCAGGCATCACGTAGGTTAGGGGAACACCCCTGGCCCCCCGGAAATCTCACAGATCCCCCTCCAAGTGAGCCCTTTCAGGTCAAGGTCTTGTGCTCTGGGCTGTTCTTTCCATCCTGCCCCAACGAAGCCTATCTTTTCTGCTCATCTCCAAATGTATCAGAACTGGGGAGGTGGTCTGGAGGGAACCCCAGCCAATCAGCCCCTTGGCTCCATCTTGGGTTAAACGACCCGTGGCCAAGCCAGCCCCCTCTCTGAGCCTAGTCAAGCGGGACTTGACATTTCCACCCGACCCTCCTCCACTGCCCTGCCAAGGACACACAGAGGCCAAGGGACAGGAAGTGAAGTCCCGCTGGGGTCTCACTGGCTGCTAGTAACTGCAGGGTCATTCCTGGGTTTCCGTGTTCACTGGGGTCGATACCTTAACCTGCAGGAAAACACCTGGACGGCAGGGCGTCGCAGGGAGGGCCAGTCCTGGCAGGGCTCCGCGCACTCACAGTGGAGACGAAGCAGTGGTTGCCGTCCTGCTCAGCGTAGAGGATCCAGTCTTTGATGAAGACGGAGATGGCCCTCAGCATGAACGACGCAAAGAGGTTCATGTGGATGAAGTTTCGGGTGCAGTGCAGCTTCCTACACCAGCGGCCAGGGAAGCAAAAGGCTTTGAAGTAAGGAACTCCACAGCCTTCCACCCTCCACCTCGGGGTCTGCTTTGGGCCAACTCCACGGCTTTGTCTCAAGGGGGTCCTCCACCTAGACCATCCCCTTCTTCCCACCTAGACTCTAAACCCTCGCTCACTCCCAGGCTCCTGCCACCTGGCCCCACTACCCTGTGACCTACTCCCTCCTGTGACCTCTCTTTATCTAGACCAGGAAGATAAAGTGAGGAACGTAGGTCTCCTGCCCAGGGTCTTCCTTGCTGTGTGGCCCTGGATAAGTCCGTTGCCCTCTCCGGGATCAAGTTTCCCATCTCTTATCCTAGGGGTGGGGGAAATGCCTTCCAAGGGACTTCCAGAGCTGACATCCAGGGAAGCAGCGGGAGGTGGGAGGGATGGAGCAAGGGCTCTGAGCTGGGGTGGGCTGCGCTCAGTCGAATGCTGCCCAGGGTCTCACCGGAAACGACACAGGATGACCATGGCAGTGGTGAGGGTGACGAGGGACGTGCTGTAGCCAACTGTGTACAGGGCCTTCACCGACAGGTAGTAATAATCCTGGAGCAGAGCACAGGACACGCAGGGCTCCACGTGGGGCCTGCCCCCGGCCCCCGGCCCCCACGGAACTGCATCTGATCTCCCAGGCGCCCCCCAGCCACCTCCTCCCTCTCCAGGGTTCGCACTGTGCAAAAGCTGAGGGCTGGCAGAGTGCAGGAGCACTGACCAGCCAGAAGGGGGCGCAGCCTCATCCTGGGGGAGGAGCCGGGAGGCCCCCTGCTGGGCCCCACATTAACCCTTCAATGGCTGGGCCACAGAAAGTCTGTGTCTCCTGAAAGAGTAGCTAGGGAGGTGGAGGACGCGGGCTGGGGGCCGGAGGAGCTCAAGCAGCAAACCAGTTGTTTCTCAGCCCAGAATGAGCGAATGAAAGTCCTGCCCTCTCATGCAGCAGGCTACGCAGCAGGTGCTCATGAACGCTGCCTGGGGACCGGAGCTTCTGCACGTCCATCAGAAGTCCAGGCCTCTGGTAGACACACCCCTCCACCCACCTCCTCAGCCTCATCCCTCCACCTCCAGGTGAGAAGCAGACACTCACCTGGTCCCCGGTCTCAGACTCGTACTCATCAAACCCACAAGCGTCGAAATAATGAGGGAACGGCTCCGACCATCCATCCTCTGTGCAGTTCCGGCTCACCACCCTCATGCCTGCAGCAGAACAAAAACTCAGCAAGCCACAGAAATGATTTAAAAGGGCTCCGAGATTCTTAATCGAAAATTACTTCTTAAGCGGGAATTCCTGGAAATCCACATGCCCGTCTGAGAAGCATGGCAGCTGAAGGTTCATGAGATCCTCCACTGTCCAAGGGAAAGTAGTCATTGCTTTTACCCTTATACAAAGGACCAGGAGGGTAGGAGGACAAGGTGCAAGCTGATCTCTAAACAAGGGGTGAGGGGACTGAGCCAGAACGAATCCAGCCTCCTTCCGCCTAGGGAAAGGCCTGAGCCCCTGCCCTAGGCCCTGGGTCGGCACTTGCCAAACTTCGGCGAGCAGAAGAATGACCTGGGATCACAAATGCAGATTCCAGGCCCGAAGATTCTGGCCCAGGAGTCACCTCAGATGGTGGTGCAGCAGGAGTTCTCGTCATACCTGGAGCTCTAGGTGATGCCTTTACCGGGAGCTCTGGGCCTTCCAGCAGCTGCAATATCCCGTGTCGAGGGGACACGTGGCTTGCTTAATTAACAAGGACCAGACCTCCACTGACCTAGCATCAGATCTTATTAAGATACACATTTAGGTTTAGAAAAAAAGAGACTTTGCCTTTTCAGGTTTAGAGGTCTGTTTCCTGTCACTAATACACTTTAATTTTCTTTTGCTCGAGTTTAAAGGCCATTTTGCAGGACACCAGAGTGGGCAGGAGTCATTGGCTGGCTGCAGAGTGGAGTCCAGTCCGGTTTTCACCCCGCCTGGGTGCCTTTTGGCCTTTAATGATTGCTCATTTCACCTTCCCCGCTCCTGATTGTCTAAAGGTGAACCATGGATGTCTGGGGGAGGGGAGAAGGCAGCAGCCACCCCCTGCCTCCAGCCCAGCCCCTGAGTGTGGCCCCAGGCTGACCCCCCTTCCCAGACTGGCTTCCTGGGAGTTTACCTGGTATGTTAGGACACCTGGGGTTGGCTCTTCCTTTCAGGATTCAGGGGCCAGAAAGCCGTATACAAGAGACATCTGCATAAAAGAGGCTCCAACACCCATGTTGTTGGAAGAATCCCCCCCCTGTGGCCAAGGCCACCTCTGGGGCACTCAGGAAGGGGGCAAGGGCAGAGGCCAAGAAAGGGGACCCCTACACTTTTCCAACCTCGTGTCCTGCTGGTTGAGTTGGAAGATCTAAGGCCAGTTCTTTTTTTTTGCGGTACGCAGGCCTCTGCTGTGGCCTCTCCCACTGCGGAGCACAGGCTCCGGACGCGCAGGCCCAGTGGCCATGGCTCACGGGCCCAGCCGCTCCACGGCACATGGGATCCTCCCGGACCGGGGCACGAACCCGTGTGCCCTGCATCGGCAGGCGGACTTCTCAACCACTGTGCCACCAGGGAAGCCCAAGGCCAGTTCTTTTTAGCCAGGAGTCAGAAACGTACTTCCTGGGACTCTGGGAAGCAGTGGAGGGTGGGCTCTCCTGCCATAAAGAGAGCTCTGCCCAGAGCGGGAAGACTGGTCTCCATCGCTGCTCAGATTCTGAGTCTTATGACCCAGGACAAAAAGGACATCTGGCAGGCCCAGGGAGAGAAGGGCTCACTTCTGTCCCACAGTTTGATGCCAAATGGTTCCTTCTTCCAGCAAATCTGTTTCAGGCTGCTACTGGCAACCTCTTTCCAAGTCCCTCTGAACGTTTCTTTCAGAAAGTCTGCACGTCCTAGGGGACCACGGCCTTGGCCAAGCCCTTCCCTCCCCTGGGTCTCCTCTCTGCTTTGCCCACATCGGGGTGGTGGGAAGAGGAAAGGGAAGTCGCTTTGAAAAACATTTTTGTAAAAAAGTATCCTGGAGATACAAGCCATTTCCTTTCTTTTATTTTCCTTCTTTCTTTTTTTATAATACAGCGTGGGCTCAGAAAAGTATAAACCTTTTTGTTCAGAACTCTTCCATGAATCTGCCACTCTACTGCTCTGATAGAAATCTCCGGAAGATGAAGTCCTCTCCGGATTGTCACCACCCTGCAGTGGCTGCACCTACTTCACTAGGCTGTTTTGCCCCAGCACCTCTGTAGGAGCACAGAATCTTAGGGCACGGGTTCTCAAAGTGGGTGCCCCCCCAGACCAGCCCATCAGCATCCCCTGGGAGACTGGCTAGAAATGCACATTCCCAGGCCCCGCCCAGGCCTGCTAAACCAGACTCTGGGAGTGAGGTCCAGGAATCTGCTTTAACAAGCCCATTAGGTGATTTTTAAAGTATGAGAAGCACTGTTCTACGTATGGGAGTTCAACGCTATCGGAGACCCCTTAAGGAGCTCTTTACTGAGATCTGTGCTTCCCTGAAATTGCATGCACCGTGTTCTGTCTGAGCACTTGCGTGCAAATTTCCATGGAGAAAATCCACAGCTTTATCAGAGAAGGAAAGCGAGCTGCCAAAGATCACACAGCCAGAGAGAGGCATAGACCGGCCTGGAAGGAGGGGTTCCCCAAGTTCACGGGTTAGCAGATGCCCTCCCTCCAGCCAGCCCATGGTGAACCCCAGCTCATCCCTTACCTGAGGGATCCAAGGAGTTACTGTCAGCAAATCCGAACTCTCCTGCAAAACAGGCGTGAGCATGAGTCGGGACACCCGGCCATCAGCTTGCCTGGGCTATCCACTGCTTACTCTGCACCGTGGAAGGCCAAGGCTGCCCCTGGCCTGAAGGATCAGGGCTGGGGGAAGGTGGGATCTTGGCCAAGAGGCTGCATCACACAGAGTAGCCACACACACCTGTCTGACTCACTGCACCTTCCAATGCCATCTCATTTGCTTTGTGTTTCTATGATGCTAATGGTGGCCCATGACTCAGTTCTCCGCACTGGACCACAGGGAGTGGAAATGGGACATTGTCGGGAGGATGGGAGGGCCTCTGGAGTGGGAGAGGACTGGAAGAGGGTAATTGGGCCTTTCCTCTTTTTTTGTGGGTGCTTGTTGTTTATCTATTTTATATAAAGTAGTGTGTATATGTTAATGCCAAACTCCTAATTTATCTCCGCCCCCGCCTCCGCTATATCCCCGTTGGTAACCATGTTTGTTTTCTATGTCTGTGAGTCTATTTCTGTTTTGTAAATAAGTTAATTAACTGGGTCTTTTCAAGAAAAGGGCAAAGAATAGCAATATGGGTCCTGGGCTTGCATTTTTTCTTTGGTGCTCAACCCTCAATCTCAGCCCACAAACCACTCCCATCAAAGGGAACCCAGAACTCCAAAGACTTCCTCCTCAGACATTTTTTCTCTTTCTCTCCTGACTCTTTATTCCCTCCTCCACCCATTCTTTAGGCTGAATCTCCTGTTAGCAGTGAACCCCAATTTCCCCTCTACTTCTCAAAATTCTGTTTTCAAGGTTCAGCTGACATGCCACCTCCTCCAGGAAGCCTCCCCTGACATCATCGTTATTCTGCCCGAATGCCACCTGGTTGGGTCTCTTCTACTCTGGAGCTTGCCATACATTCCAACTCCACATGCTGGCTCACTCACACAATCAGGCCTGTACGTGTACATATGCACGTGCCTATGCACACGGGTGGCCTTGTTTGCTAACCCCTCCACAGGGGAGTGGGTGTCAACTTCCCAAACAAGCTCATGAGCACCATGAGACCAGGAGCTCCATCTTCCATCTTCCTGTGTCTCCCCCACCTCCAGATGGCCAAGGAGGGAGGGGGTGGGGGGGAGGTGGGATGAACCCAGCCCCTGATGAGCCTCTCATTCCACCCCCACCCACTCCCAGCAGTCAGAGCCAGGCTCCTGCCGGATGGACAGATGATCAGCAGTCTGTCCTCTCCAAGGTTCCTCTTACCGATGGTTTCCGTCTCCCAGACTGAAACAGAGAGAGACAGACGGACAGACAGAAAGACAGAGAGAGAGAACACAGAGGTGAGCAAGGGGTCTAAAGTCAGGTCTGCTCTCTCTGGGCCCTGCTGACGATTTCCTCCTCTTTCCTACTCCCAGACTCTGGAGAGAGGCTCTGCTGGGGGCGCCAGAGGCATGAGAACTACAAGAAGGGGCTGGACCAGACACTGGAGACTTCTACGATTCCCTCGAGAACAGGACACAGTTAAAGAGAAATATCAGAGGCATGTGTAAGGAGGAGAGCGATCAACTTCCCGTCTCTCCAATAGCCCGCAGAGCAACAATTATTACAATGAGATTCAGCCCTGAGAACCAGGAAATAAAATGAAAAAACGCCACCTTCAGCTTTCTAAGTATTTAAGGCAAGTCTCACTAATCCAGCTCTGTGAATGGAGATGCTAAAAAGGCCTGCCTTAATGAACCATTAAGAAGCAGGGGTAAATAACACATTCATTGTGCAATTGCCAGAGGGAGGCACAGAGTCTGAAGGAAAGTTTATCTTAAGAAAATGTTATTTTACTGCTGATTCAGTTTACCTTTTTTTGTGGTTGAAAAGAAGTAATCCTGCCATGGTACCTGACCCACAGTAGCTGTTCTGTCAACTTTAAATAAACGACTGAACGAAAGGAGTACGTGAGCGGAGGAAGTGATTAAGTTGGTTTCTATAGGAATGAATTCGAAACTGGGCTGAATCAGCAGGCGGCCACCTCGCCTGACGTCCCACCATTCATACTGTGCCTCTTGCTTCAGTACTTCCCATCCTGCCCTGCGTCACACCCAGTCCCCTCGCTGTCAGGATGGAAGAGTTCAACTGCCACTCTCCTGCTGGGCTGGCTGGAGATTCTGGAGGTGGGAGGTTGGCTAACAGGCCCTGCTCCGGAGCGGAAGTTGGGGGGAGGCAAGGCAGGGGTGCGATGCAGCTAGACCCTGCCTCCTCTGGGCCTGGGCAGGGAGGCAGAGATGGGGCCCTGGCACCCCGATACAATGCCACTACCTCCCTCCGCCGCCTTTTGCAAAAAGAGAAGTCCAGGCACAGTCTAGGTTGCTGGACTTCCAGGTGTGAAAGACTTTGCCGCTGCCTCTCACACACACGTTAAGGACAGCGGCAGGCAGGATTCTGTAGTGAGGTGGAGCTTGGAGACTGTCCACTTCTGGAAGGACACTGGCTGAAGCCTTAGGCAGGTGAAGGACGAAGCTGAGACCCAGGTCTCAAGGGGCCCGAGCCTGGCCGCCCACACGTGTCTCAGACTCTCTAATCTCCTCAGGAGCCCCACCCTCCGTCCTCCTCAAACCAAGGCCCCAACCCAGGGCTCAGTGGTCCCCGGGTGGTTCTCAGTACATCACCGGCCTGGAGCCCGGCCCCACCATCTCTCCCCGCCCAGCCCAACTCAGCACCCCTTAGCTTGCCACCCTGCTTCCCGTGACACCCCGAGGGTTGGGGTAGAGGGCCAGTCTGGCTCCAGGCCTTTCCCAGTGTCAATGTGGACTCAGCCACCAACCTTCTTTAGGAGTCCACGAAGCCTCCACCAAAGACAGGAGCAGGCCTGGAGAGACCACCAGACTCCCCAGAACCCCTTCCCCTCAGACCCCTCCCCACGGAGAGGCGGTCACCCAGGCCTCTCTGTGCGAGTGATAACGGTGATAACATCAGCTGACACCACTGGCCATTAAGACATGTCCAGTCTCGCTAAGGGACTTCTCGCTAAGGAACCTGGAGTCCAAGCTCGAGAGCCCAGCCACGACGATGCACCTCCACGTGGACTTGCCACGTCTGAGGGGTGCTTCTGTGTCCCTGTGTGCACGAGGGTCCGTGGTTTCATCTCCCCATCAGCACGAGCTCTGAAATGGGAAGTATCTGCCTGCAGGGCGTCCTGTGTCCCTGGTGCTTGTCTCTCAGAAGAGCCTGAGGTCCGAACAAGGGGAGCAGGCTGGACCCAGAGTGGCCTGAAGAGGCCCCCGGGGGGGACCCACCTTGGTCTGGGTTGAAGATTCGGAAGAGCTCAGGGCAGCTGACGAGGACCATCTCACCCACGTGGGCAGGCTTCCAACATGTGATGTTGTCCCACATCCCAGGGCAGCCTGTGAGGAAGGGAACCACGGTGAGAGGGCAGCCAGACGCCCACATACACACACACACACATCACACGCACACATCACCCTGCGTGAGCTCTTCCATGTCCCCAGGCTCCACGTCGCGGTGGGGTCCCACTTCAGATCGACCCCCTCGGTGGGCCTTCCCTACCCCTCGGGGGAGGGGCAGGAACCGTCTGGCCCAAGGACAGTGCTCCACGCCCTCTCCCCCCAGTCGCCCAGCGCCTTTCAGGGCACACCTGCAGCAGGAAGATGACACGGAGCTGGGACCTGAAGAGGACCACAGATTGGCCAGATGGGGGTGGGGGGAGGAGGGGAGAGGCCTGCGAAGCCGAGGCCCCGAACTATGAAAGGGCTGGGAGCACGAGGAGCCAGGAAGCAGGGAGCACCTGAGGGGCCACTGCTGGCAAGGCACCCCCGCATCCGGCGAGCACCGAGGGCTGGAGAGGAGCAGGGACAAACTGAGAGCTACTCAGGAATCGCCAAGACGCACGACTCGCTGGATGCGAGCTTGTGGGAAAGGAGCAAGAGGCTGAGCTTGACGACCAGGTTTTCAGATCTGGGGGGCTCCGTGGACGCTCCGACCCCCGTGCCTGCTCTCCTTCCAGCCCTTGCCAGCCTCTCTGTGGGGTCCTCTGTACTCCCATCACCACCACCTCCCCTCCCCTTCATGCTTCACCCCTCGTCTGACTCCACCCCTCCTCTCCACGGAGAGGCCTCTTGCCCTTACAGACCTCTCCGCCCTTATGGAGTGGGCTCCACCCTGCCCACCCCGACTGCATGCAGGGGCTCGTGTCTGCCCTGCCCTCGGCCCCTTGCCCCACTGCCCTTAAACGAGACCACCGGGCCCAAGGACTTCAGGATAGAATTACACAGACAACCGCCAACCCTGACTCCTGCACAACACGGGGGCTACCTTCCATGGCCAGGGGCCTGCTGGATATCCCCACCTTGAAAGGCCCAAGACGATCCACACACAGCATGTCCAAGACTCAACTCAGCAGCTCCTACAAACTCTGATTTCCTGTCTCAGCCCCAGCTAGAGCCCTGGAGTCACTCTTGCTTTGTCTCCTCCTCCTTCGTGCTCACAGCCGACCGGTCACCAAGTCCTGCTGGTGTGACGTCTGGATATTTGTGGAATCCATGCCCTACCCTCCATCCTTGCACTCCCACCTAGCTCAGGGCTGACCACCCTTCACTGGGACCATGGCTACAGCCTCCCCAGTGGTCTCCTCACTCAACCGCACAGAGCTGTGACCGTGAGCTCTTCCAAAGGAAGATCTGGCTGGGTCACACAGCCGCCACCCCCAGTGAGCACCTTCCAGTGATCCTATCACCTCAGCTGTAACGTGGTTCCTAAGGCCTGGCCCTTGCTTCTCACTCTGGCACGTGGGGCGCGGGTGAGGCCCTGGGATGAGAGCTCACCCAGGGAAAGGACGTGATGTGAGAGGAGCCTGGAACCCCCCGTTTTCCAGGTGGGCAGAGATGTAATCATGACGGGGGGGGGCAAAGGCAGAGAAGGGAGGCAGCAGTGTGGCGTGTCTGACGGCAGAGTACAGACTTTCAGAAAAGGGACCACATCCTGCTGAGCGGTCTATAATAAGGGCTTTGGAGGGCTTCCCTGCCATGTAAGGGACAGCCAGCGCTCGTCCCCGCCCACAGGACTGCTAGGAGGACTAACGAGTTCATACATGTAAAGCTCGCAGAAGAACGGCGGGCTCACTCAATGCGTGCTCGCCATTGTTATTACCATTAATTTCATTATTTCAATTAGGGGTCCCTGGGGATCATTCCCCTAAGAGAGATGAAACACAGCCCTAGCAGGTGAGAAGAAAGGCCAGTGGAGGGCCACTGACAGACACACAGGAAGCCCGGGCAGGTGCCGGACAGGGATGGGGGCCCTGGGTGGGCCTCATGAGCTCACAGCCTCTCTGTTGGGGTCCATGACTGACTTTCAGGTCCTGTTTGGATCAGAAGGCACCCAAAGCTTCCAGGTGCAGAAAACCCTATCTCTCAGAACTCAGACCTGGCTACTTTAGAATTGACACCCAATCACATTAGCCTACAGCATCCTGCTCCCAGAATGACTGAGTTTGGGAGACAGAAGCATCAGAGAAAGCTCTGAGGACGACAAACCAAGATGACGAGGATGCTGGGGCCACACGAAGGGAGATGGTCCCAGGTCTGTTACTGACGATTCCTATCCACCCACCACAGCAGGGCTCCAACCTGCACGTGGCTGGTTATGACAACACATCCTTGAAAGAGACCTAACAGTACATCTTTGGCCGCCATGGCCCGTGTTGACCGTGGAATGGCCATGGAGCGTGGCCGTGTCTGGCCCATGCCCTGGGAACCCCAGTCAACAGATGTTCCCTAAATGTGGAACGTTAGGCCCTGGCACGGCCTAATGTGTTCCCTTGAGTTCTGTGAGCCGTTATAACAAATGATGGAGCCTGAAGAGGAGGCTATGGGAACTCCTTTTTTTTTTTTTTTTTTTTTTTGCGGTACACGGGCCTCTCACTGTTGTGGCCTCTCCCGATGCGGAGCACAGGCTCCGGGTGCGCAGGCTCAGTGGCCACGGCTCACAGGCCCAGTCGCTCCGCGGCAAGTGGGATCTTCCCGGACCAGGGCACGAACCCGTCTCCCCTGTGTCGGCAGGCGGACTCTCAACCACTGCGCCACCAGGGAAGCCCAAGGGAACTCCTGATTTGTAGCCAAGACAGACTGAAGTGTGGGTAACCTGGGGCCCCACGACTTGCAATTGGCATCTGAAATGGGGGAGCAGGCTCCTGAAGCTGACCCTTAACCTGCTGGGTCTGTGCTAACTCCAGGTCGTTAGTGTCAGATTTGAATTAAATTGTAGGGACATCCAGTGGGTATCCGTAGAAAACCGGAGAACTGCTTGGTATGGAAAAGCCACACATTTGGTGTCAGAAATGCCGTGAAACAGTTTTCCTTTATGGGACAATGTCCCCGACCCCAACGGGAGCTTTCAGCCATCCACACACCTCTCTGGCCTGCATCACTGGGGTCATAGGAGATGCAGGTCACCATCTCGGGGCTTTCCAGGATGCCTTTGCACATTTCTCCCGTAGGTATCACCTCCTGGCCTGACCCACAGAGGAAGAGAGGTGGGGTCTGTCTCCTCTCCTGTTCTGGATGGGGTCTGCTCTGGCCTCAGGAGCCTTGGAGCTGAATCCTCCCAGGAACGTTTTCCAGGGGGATGAGGATGGGATTTGGGCTCCTGAGAGTGCCTTGGGTTTTTCTAACTAAGGACAGCAACTCATTTTCCTTCCACGCCCACAACACACATCCAGTTTCTCTTTCCCCATCTGTTCCAGACTCCAGTCCCAACAAAGCTTAGTTCTGTTGAGGCTAGAAGATTTCAAGATGCCATTTCTCCCCCACTCCCCCTTCTCCTTTTACCTTTTCTGTGTCTTCTCTTTCCCCTTCCCTTCCCTCTTTTTCACTCATTTATTCAAGAAATATTAAGTGCCTATTACAAGTCAGACACCGGAGAGCAAAACTGGGCTGAATAAACCCCCCTGGTCTGTGCCCGCACGGGGCTTATAGCCTGTGGTCATGGGAATGAGTTTGGATTTAATACCAAATGCTGAGAAGACCTTGGATGGTGTATTCCTTTCCTGTTGCTGCTATAACAAAGCAAACCTGGTGGCTTAAAATGACACAATTTCTTATCTTACGGTTCTGGAGGTCAGAAGTCTCACTGGGCCAAAGTCAAGTTGTCAGCATTCCTTCTGGAGGCTCTAGAGGAGAATCTGTTTCCTTGTCTTTTCCAGATTCAGGAGGCCACCCACATCCCTTGACCTGCGGCCACTCTCTCCATCTTCCAAGCCAGTAGCATAGCATCCTCAAAGCTCTCTCCTCTGACCCTCCTGCTGCCTCCTGTCACCTATGAGGCCGCTTGTGACTACACTGGATCCACCTGAATAATCCAGGCCACTTGCTCCATCTTAACTTAATTATACCTGCCAAGTCCCTTTTGTCATGTAAGGCAACACATTCACAGGCTTTGGGGATTCGGACGTGGGCATTTTTTTTTTTTTTTTTTGCGGTACGTGGGCCTCTCACCGTCGTGGCCTCTCCCGTTGCGGAGCACAGGCTCCGGACGCGCAGGCCCAGCGGCCATGGCTTACGGGCCCAGCCGCTCCGCGGCATGTGGGATCTTCCCAGACCGGGGCACGAACCCATGTCCCCTGCATCGGCAGGCGGACTCTCAACCACTGCGCCACCAGGGAAGCCCATGGACGTGGGCACCTTTGGTGGGGGCATCATTCTGCCTCCCACAGATGGGTCTGAAGACGCAGAGTCACATGATCTGATTCAGCTGTGTGGGAAGGTAATATATTTCAAGAGCAGGAAAGCAAACATGGAGACATGTCTGTCAGGATATGGCAGCAGTCCAGAGGAGGGTGGTGGGGCTCGCTTAGGAGCCATGGCAGCCAAGGTAGAAAGGAGTTCTGCGTAGGAGAGTCTGGAGGCAGGACTGACAGGACTTGGTGACACACTGGCTGGACCCAGCCGGTGAGCGTGCCAGGGAGCGTTGGTGCTCATCCGTCTCACGTGACTGAGTGCTCACCCATGGGAAGAGGGGGGAAGTGATGAACAGGTCTCAAAAACATCCCTTGCAGACTCCATACCCTTTCTCTCTCTCTCTCCCCTCTCTGCAGCACCCCTGGAGGCCGCATATCGAGGGTGGCAGTGTTGCGAGATGCAAGGAGCCTGGATCTCTGAAGGACCGGGCAGAGTCGAACTCCACCTCCCACCTCTGCTGACCACGCTGGCTGGTGACGTGTGCAAGCAGGAAACGTTATGGTGCTAAGTCTCTGAGATGTTAAGGTTCATCTGTTACCTCAGCACGGTCTAGGCTACCGTGACTGATGCACTAAACGGGAGAGAGGGGCCAAGGATGACACCTGGGTTTGAGTGTCCAGATGGCTGGCCGGCTGAGCCACTCGCCACAG